TAACCTGCCAGGTGTACCTGTACCCTAACCTAACCTGCCAGGTGTACCTGTACCCTAACCTAACCTGTCAGGTGTACCTGTACCCTAACCTAACCTGCCAGGGGTACCTATACCCTAACCTAACCTGCCAGGTGTACCTGTACCCTAACCTAACCTGCCAGGGGTACCTGTACCCTAACCTAACCTTCCAGGTGTACCTGTACCCTAACCTAACCTGCCAGGTGTACCTGTACCCTAACCTAACCTGTCAGGTGTACCTGTACCCTAACCTAACCTGCCAGGGGTACCTATACCCTAACCTAACCTGCCAGGTGTACCTATACCCTAACCTAACCTGCCAGGTGTACCTGTACCCTAACCTAACCTGCCAGGTGTACCTGTACCCTAACCTAACCTGCCAGGGGTACCTGTACCCTAACCTAACCTGCCAGGTGTACCTGTACCCTAACCTAACCTGCCAGGTGTACCTGTACCCTAACCTAACCTGTCAGGTGTACCTGTACCCTAACCTAACCTGCCAGGTGTACCTATACCCTAACCTAACCTGCCAGGTGTACCTATACCCTAACCTAACCTGCCAGGTGTACCTATACCCTAACCTAACCTGCCAGGTGTACCTATACCCTAACCTAACCTGCCAGGTGTACCTGTACCCTAACCTAACCTGCCAGGTGTACCTGTACCCTAACCTAACCTGCCAGGTGTACCTATACCCTAACCTAACCTGCCAGGTGTACCTATACCCTAACCTAACCTGCCAGGTGTACCTATACCCTAACCTAACCTGCCAGGTGTACCTATACCCTAACCTAACCTGCCAGGTGTACCTATACCCTAACCTAACCTGCCAGGTGTACCTGTACCCTAACCTAACCTGTCAGGTGTACCTGTACCCTAACCTAACCTGCCAGGTGTGCCTGTACCCTAACCTAACCTGCCAGGTGTACCCAAGGTCAATACATCACCTTGTAGAGCTCCAGTACTGTACTGACCATACAAATAACTATTGTTGCAAAGCTTGTCAGAGCTTTAAATGCTGAAGCTTTCAGGTCATTGAGCATTGGTCCCTAATTCTTGAAAATCTGAAGTAGGGAAAGGGAATTATCAGGTGAAAGCCCCAAGCCAGGGGCCTCGTAGGGGCCTCGTAGCCTGGTGGATAGCGCGCAGGACTCGTAATTCTGTGGCGCGGGTTCGATTCCCGCACGAGGCAGAAACAAATGGGCAAAGTTTCTTTCACCCTGAATGCCCCTGTTACCTAGCAGTAAATAGGTACCTGGGTGTTAGTCAGCTGTCACGGGCTGCTTCCTGGGGGTGGAGGCCTGGTCAAGGACCGGGCCGCGGGGACACTAAAGCCCCGAAATCAACTCAAGATAACCTCAAGATAGCCTTTACGACTATATAGCACTGGGAAAGGGGTCAGGATAAGGGTTTGGGATGGGACGGGGGAAAGGAATGGTGGCTAACCACTTGGACGGTAAAATCTAAGTAATCATTTGTATGCAGGCGATGAGTCACAATACCGTGGCTGAAGTATGTTGACCAGACCACACACTAGAAAATGAAGGGACGACGACGTTTCGGTCCGTCCTGGACCATTCTCAAGTCGATTGTCGATTGAGAATGGTCCAGGACGGACCGAAACATCGTCGTCCCTTCATTTTCTAGTGTGTGGATTGGTCAGCATTTGAATATGTATGTTTCGTTCTTGCCTAATCTATCTACAAAGTTCTGCTTTTTAACTCCAATTTGGAATGTCAGAGCGCACTCAGCCCATCCTCATGCACACTAGCCGTCCTCACAAATATTGACTAAATTCTCGTAAATCCAGCTGTCCTGTTCTCAGAACAGAACAGCTGGATTCCATGTGTCAAAAACACATGTTTTATGAATGAAAAACCAAGAACCCATCCCCCCCATCCCCAAGCTGTGCTCGTCCATTCAGCGGCTAACCCCATAGACGAACTGATCAGTTTTAACGTACTATGTATTGAAATATTAATTTATATTATTACATATTAGCATTTTGTGCATAGAGATCCTGTCCTCTTAAAAATAACGTCGCTTTTCGCACGTATGCGCACTATGGCCAAAAATGGACGTAATATGAAATGAAATCAGCTCACAAGAGTGATGTAGTGTCCCGTTTTCTGTTCGAGTCCTCGGGCTTACTCGATAAGGTTAAGAGAGGAAACATTCAATTAACGTTTTTCATGACGGTTTGAAACTTTAGGACAATTTCCTGCCCTCCTAACCTACCAGAGGACTCTTAACTTGCTGTTTTGGAAACAAATCCCAAATTTATTTTAATTTTTTTTTATTTTCAAATTACGTCCATTTTTGGCCGTACAGGTAAACAGCCGAATTCAGACGTAATTTGTAAGAGCGCAGGTTGAACGTTATAGGAAATGTTACGTGTTCAGATTCAGTTGAACAAATACTGGCAGTTGAACAAATCCACAAGGGCCGTGACGAGGATTCGAACCTGCGTCCAGGAGCATCCCAGACAACTGATGTACTGGCAGTTATTTGAGTCTGTAGTACGTGGTTGGGAAAGGCATCTATAGAGAGAACTGCGATTCGAACAGAGGACGAGAGTGAAGCACTGTTCGAAGAAAGTTCGAACATCAGTTGTGAATCATGCAGCTCATCCTCATCAACAAAGGTCAAATGCTCATTCATCCAACCGCCAAACCCATTGTTTATACATGAAAAAGTTTTACATTCGAATCACAACTGATGTTTGAATATTTTTCGAACAGTGCTTCGCTGATGACGTCTGTTCGAATCGCATCCCTGTTAATGCTTCACCCACGTACTACAAATTTAAACAGTCGCCAACAGATAGTAATCAATTAACCAAATCTAGGCCTAAACATGTACAATACGCTAATATATAATGTGACGTTAATCTGAAAATAGATCGATCTATTTTATTAGTCGATCGATCGATCGACCCGCCAAACACACACCGAAACTATGACGTTGGTACAACGTTCGAACAAGTTTTAACACTTCCTAACCAGTTATAACAACCAATCTAGCAAGTTGTAACAACGTTTTAATACGTCATAAACACGTTAAGCCAAGATGTAACAACTTTATTTCAAGTTGTAACAAGCGGAAAATAGAGACAGTTTCGGTTTGTGTTTCCAGACCAGTGGCTGTTCTGACTGGTATTTGGCCATTCACGTTAAATAAAAAGAGCGTAAAATAAAGTACATTTAGTAGACATAAACACAAGTAGTAGACATAGTAGATAAAGTAGACTGCTAATGACCTCTACTGGGTGAGAGCTGCTAATGACCTCTACTGGGTGAGAGCTGCTTATGACCTGTACTGGGTGAGAGCTGCTAATGACCTCTACTGGGTGAGAGCTGCTAATGACCTCTACTGGGTGAGAGCTGCTAATGACCTCTACTGGGTGAGAGCTGCTTATGACCTGTACTGGGTGAGAGCTGCTAATGACCTCTACTGGGTGAGAGCTGCTAATGACCTCTACTGGGTGAGAGCTGCTAATGACCTCTACTGGGTGAGAGCTGCTTATGACCTCTACTGGGTGAGAGCTGCTAATGACCTCTACTGGGTGAGAGCTGCTAATGACCTCTACTGGGTGAGAGCTGCTAATGACCTCTACTGGGTGAGAGCTGCTAATGACCTCTACTGGGTGAGAGCTGCTAATGACCTCTACTGGGTGAGAGCTGCTTATGACCTCTACTGGGTGAGAGCTGCTAATGACCTCTACTGGGTGAGAGCTGCTAATGACCTCTACTGGGTGAGAGCTGCGGTTAATACAAAGAAAATAAACACGTAAAACATTTAATTTAACAAAAATGACTTTAATAATTAACAAAACAAATCCGCTTATCCACTTGGCGATAACACAAGATAAAAGAAATATATACACAGGGGAATTATTACCTTAAGGAAAAGAAAGGTGCAATTTAATACTTTATACAAGAGCTGCTCGAGTCTAGAGAGAGTAGATGCTGCAGCTTAGAGCACTGAACAGTATTCTCAGGACTGGATGATGTTATCTTGAGATGATTTCGGGGCTTTAGTGTCCCCGCGGCCCGGTCCTCGACCAGGCCTCCACCCCCAGGAAGCAGCCCGTGACAGCTGACTAACACCCAGGTACCTATTTTACTGCTAGGTAACAGGGGCATAGGGTGAAAGAAACTCTGGCCATTGTTTCTCGCCGGCGCCTGGGATCGAAACCCAGGACCACAGGATCACAAGTGCAGCGTGCTGTCCGCTCGGCCGACCGGCTCCTTGTTGTTAAGATTCCCTCCCTAAAACAAAAAGTTCCAAGTAGCACGGGCTATGGTGAGCCCGTGTTTGAGGACTGGACGTCAGTGAGCTCCTTATATATGCGGGGGCCAAGCCAGCATAGATGTCGTGGGTATCCATCGGTCGGCAATTAAACACGCAATTACACGCAGAGATCACACTAACGTGATGCATCAAATGAACAAATCCACAAGGGCCGTGACGAGGATTCGAACCTGGATTTGTTCATTGGGATGCTCCCGGACGCAGGTTCGAATCCTCGTCACGGCCCTTGTGGATTAGTTCATTTAACAAGCAATTAGGCTGGACGAATGGCGGTGTGCCCTCTGCAGGTGCCCGGGTGTCTTGGGTACTAGAGGACGGAGGGAGGGTGGGTATCTGTCTACACACTGAGCACTTGTTAATGTTGATTCCCTATGTTGCAGCATGCACATATGTTGGTGAATGTTGCAGCATGCACATATGTTGGTGAATATGCGGTAAAGGGGGCAGACAGGATCTGCCTAAGCTGGAGATTACCGTAACAATAATAACATTATTTTTTATTTGACAAAAATCATCTTTTCAATGAAGAACATGTTGAATCTTATGTATGCTTCTTTGTGGTCGGACGCTGGATGGAATGAACAAAGAATGAAAGATGAATGAAGTGTTTTCATTCATAAAAAGGGGGGGGGTAGGCGGCTGAATTAACGAGTATTTAGCCTTTATGAATGACAGAGGAAGAGACAGCTATGGAACCAACAGAGGGAGAAACACCTATGGAACCAACAGAGGGAGAAACACCTATGGAACCAACAGAGGAAGAAACACCTATGGAACCAACAGAGGAAGAAACACCTATGGAACCAACAGAGGAAGAAACACCTATGGAACCAACAGAGGAAGAAACACCTATGGAACCAACAGAGGAAGAGGCAGCTATGGAACCAACAGAGGAAGAAACACCTATGGAACCAACAGAGGAAGAGGCAGCTATGGAACCAACAGAGGAAGAAACACCTATGGAACCAACAGAGGAAGAGGCAGCTATGGAACCAACAGAGGAAGAAACACCTACGGAACCAACAGAGGAAGAAACACCTATGGAACCAACAGAGGAAGAGGCACCTATGGAACCAACAGAGGAAGAAACACCTATGGAACCAACAGAGGAAGAGGCAGCTATGGAACCAACAGAGGAAGAGGCAGCTATGGAATCAACAGAGGAAGAGGCAGCTATGGAACCAACAGAGGAAGAGGCAGCTATGGAACCAACAGAAGAAGAAACACCTATGGAACCAACAGAGGAAGAGGCAGCTATGGAATCAACAGAGGAAGAGGCAGCTATGGAACCAACAGGAAGAAACACCTATGGAACCAACAGAGGAAGAAACACCTATGGAACCAACAGAGGAAGAAACACCTATGGAACCAACAGAGGAAGAGGCAGCTATGGAATCAACAGAGGAAGAGGCAGCTATGGAACCAACAGGAAGAAACACCTATGGAACCAACAGAGGAAGAAACACCTATGGAACCAACAGAGGAAGAAACACCTATGGAACCAACAGAGGAAGAAACACCTATGGAACCAACAGAGGAAGAAACACCTATGGAACCAACAGAGGAAGAAACACCTATGGAACCAACAGAGGAAGAAACATCTATGGAACCAACAGAGGAAGAAACACCTATGGAACCAACAGAGGAAGAAACACCTATGGAACCAACAGAGGAAGAAACATCTATGGAACCAACAGAGGAAGAAACACCTATGGAACCAACAGAGGAAGAAACACCTATGGAACCAACAGAGGAAGAAACATCTATGGAACCAACAGAGGAAGAAACACCTATGGAACCAACAGAGGAAGAAACACCTATGGTTCTTCCATCAATATAACAGGACAGAGAGCCTGACCCAGGAGCTATACCTCCCAGGACCCGTAAGCCATAGCTGAGTGGTCTTGGCATCAATTCTTACCAAACTTTGGCATATAACCGCGAAAGGACTGAGGGAAAGAATCATAAAGAATAGGAATATACCAACAAACATTCTCCACTATTCCTTGTTCCAGATCAAGAATAGTGAAATTTGAAGCCACTTTTAGGCTAATAGGCCTTAGAAAATTTCCCTTTTTCTTTGAAATTCTTCTCTGTTCTCTGTATTCTTTGTTCTCTGACAGATTCAAGAAATAGACTTAAGTCAGTCCTTGATGTAAACACTTAAGTCTACAAAAGTATTTTAGTATTAAGTGGAAGGGAAGGGGGAATTTTCAGGTGAAAGCGCTAAGTCATTTCGACTATATAGCACTGGGAAGGGGTCAGGATAAGGATTTGGGATGGGACGGAGGGAAAGGAATGGTGCCCAACCACTTGTGGACGGTCGGGGATTGAACGCCGACCTGCAAGGATTTTCCCCGTTGAAGAAAAGAGAGCAAAGCGAATTGAAGAAACAATAGACATAGCAAATAAATTTAGGAACTGAAGAAAGGTATAATAATTATAAGGAGAAAGTGCTGAACCAGGAATAAGAGCTGGGATATGAGACAGACTAAGAGCTGGGATATGAGGACATTAAGAGCTGGGATATGAGGACATTAAGAGCTGGGATATGAGGACATTAAGAGCTGGGATATGAGGACATTAAGAGCTGGGATATGAGGACATTAAGAGCTGGGATATGAGGACATTAAGAGCTGGGATATGAGGACATTAAGAGCTGGGATATGAGGACATTAAGAGCTGGGATATGAGACAGACTAAGAGCTGGGATATGAGGACATTAAGAGCTGGGATATGAGGACATTAAGAGCTGGGATATGAGGACATTAAGAGCTGGGATATGAGGACATTAAGAGCTGGGATATGAGGACATTAAGAGCTGGGATATGAGGACATTAAGAGCTGGGATATGAGGACATTAAGAGCTGGGATATGAGACAGACTAAGAGCTGGGATATGAGACAGACTAAGAGCTGGGATATGAGGACAGACTAAGAGCTGGGATATGAGACAGACTAAGACCTGGGATATGAGACAGATTAAGAGCTGGGATATGAGGACATTAAGAGCTGGGATATGAGACAGACTAAGAGCTGGGATATGAGGACATTAAGAGCTGGGATATGAGGACATTAAGAGCTGGGATATGAGGACATTAAGAGCTGGGATATGAGGACATTAAGAGCTGGGATATGAGGACATTAAGAGCTGGGATATGAGACAGACTAAGAGCTGGGATATGAGGACAGACTAAGAGCTGGGATATGAGACAGACTAAGACCTGGGATATGAGACAGATTAAGAGCTGGGATATGAGGACATTAAGAGCTGGGATATGAGACAGACTAAGAGCTGGGATATGAGGACATTAAGAGCTGGGATATGAGGACATTAAGAGCTGGGATATGAGGACATTAAGAGCTGGGATATGAGGACATTAAGAGCTGGGATATGAGGACATTAAGAGCTGGGATATGAGACAGACTAAGAGCTGGGATATGAGACAGACTAAGAGCTGGGATATGAGGACATTAAGAGCTGGGATATGAGGACATTAAGAGCTGGGATATGAGGACATTAAGAGCTGGGATATGAGGACATTAAGAGCTGGGATATGAGGACATTAAGAGCTGGGATATGAGACAGACTAAGAGCTGGGATATGAGACAGACTAAGAGCTGGGATATGAGGACAGACTAAGAGCTGGGATATGAGACAGACTAAGACCTGGGATATGAGACAGACTAAGAGCTGGGATATGAGGACATTAAGAGCTGGGATATGAGACAGACTAAGAGCTGGGATATGAGACAGACTAAGAGCTGGGATATGAGACAGACTAAGAGCTGGGATATGAGGACAGACTAAGAGCTGGGATATGAGACAGACTAAGAGCTGGGATATGAGGACAGACTAAGAGCTGGGATATGAGACAGACTAAGAGCTGGGATATGAGACAGACTAAGACCTGGGATATGAGACAGACTAAGAGCTGGGATATGAGACAGACTAAGACCTGGGATATGAGACAGACTAAGAGCTGGGATATGAGGACAGTATGAAGCAGCAGTGCCAAACTTCCGGACCATCGGGAATCGAACTCTGGCCCTACAAGGAGCATCATTGCTTGTGTGACATTCTATGTTGAGTTTCAGAGAAATATTCAGAGAAAATAACAATGAAGATCTGAGTCGTTCAATCATAAGAAGTTGTGAAACACTTTTATGAAGAGAATATAGAAAGACTATCAAGATAACACACAAGTCAGGTGTAAAAATATGAACGACTTAGGGAGTCAAACGAGCCAGTGAAATTTTAAATACATATTCATAATGTTTTACTGAACCAATGGGAAGAAAAACTGGCATTTATGTGAAGATGCTGTTAGCCAATTAGAATGACTAAATACCAGTTATTGTCCCCTGGCCATTTATCTTTGAGGGGCCTCGTAGCCTGGTGGATAGCGCGCAGGACTCGTAATTCTGTGGCGCGGGTTCGATTCCCGCACGAGGCAGAAACAAATGGGCAAAGTTTCTTTCACCCTGAATGCCCGTTACCTAGCAGTAAATAGGTACCTGGGAGTTAGTCAGCTGTCACGGGCTGCTTCCTGGGGGTGGAGGCCTGGTCGAGGACCGGGCCGCGGGGACACTAAAGCCCCGAAATCATCTCAAGATAACCTCAAGATAACCCATTGAAATCCTGTGTAATGCTCATTAAACAAGATAGAATAAATAGTTATTTTCTAATTTCCATTTTGGGGAATGCTGGAGCTGTGCTGGTGGCCCTCCGAGCTCACCTAGCCAGCACCTACTAGCCCTTGTCATCACCTACTAGGCCTCCAGGACCTGCTTAGCAAGTACTAGGAGCCATGGAAGGCCTCATACCTGGCTGTAACCTGGGGAACGAGAGTTTCTTTGTGACTATGAACGGCCTGGAGCTACAGCATGGGGGGGGGGAGGGAGGGAGGGGGACATGATTGTTGGGGGTCAGGAGTAGGGGGTGGTGGTGGAGGAAGGGGGGGAGGGGGAGAGGGGGTGGAACTCATGACGTGGGTGTGACGTCACGGGGATCAATAATGGTGAGGTAGGTGTTCATGAAGACTTGTGGAATGTTCATTACCTCTGTTCTACCACCACCATCACTACCACCACAACCACTACCACCACTGCCACTACCACCACTGCCACTACCACTACCACCACCACCACAACCATCACTACCACCACAACCACCACCACCACTGCCACTACCACCACCACCACTATCACTACCACCACTGCCACTACCACCACTGCCACCACTGCCACTACCACCACTACCACCACTGTCACTACCACCACTGCCACTACCACCACTGCCACTACCACCACTGCCACTACTACCATCACTACCACCACTGCCACTACCACCATCACCACCACTGCCACTACCATCACCACCACAACCACCACTGCCACTACCACCACTACCATCACCACCACTACCACCACTGCCACTACCACCATCACTACCACCACCACCACTACCACCACTGCCACTACCACCATCACTACCACCACCACCACTACCACCACTGCCACTACCACCACTACCACCATCACTACCACCACTACCACCACTGCCACTACCACCATCACTACCACCACCACCACTACCACCACTGCCACTACCACCACTACCACCATCACTACCACCACCACCACTACCACCACTGCCACTACCACCATCACCATCACTACCACCACCACCACTACCACCACCACCACTACCACCATCACCATCACTACCACCACCACCACTACCACCACTGCCACTACCACCATCACTACCACCACTGCCACTACCACGACTGCCACTACCACCACTGCCACTACCACCAGCACCACCACTGCCACTACCACCACTGCCACTACCACCATCACCACCACTACCACCACTGCCACTACCACCACTGCCACTACCACCACTGCCACTACCACCACTACCACCACTGCCACTACCATCACCACCACTACCACCACTGCCACTACCACCACCATCACTACCACCACCACCACTACCACCACTGCCACTACCACCATCACTACCACGACTGCCACTACCACCACTGCCACTCCCACCACTACCACCATCACCACCATCACTACTACCACTACCACCACCATAAACGCTAGAACCATCACAACTTCCACCACCACAAATGGTTGCTGGAATTAAATCCAAACAAGTGCAAGGTAATTAAGAATGAAACGGTAGAGAAGAGAGCAGCAGGCATCTACACCACATAAGGAAGCCAGCTACAGGAAGTGGAAGGAGAGAAATACCTGGGAGTGGATGTAGTTCTACGACACACCACGAGACACACACAAACAGGATAACATTGGCGGCATATACGACGCTGAAAAATATAGAAATCTTTTAGAGACCTAAATCATGACTCCAGGGCAATCTACACAACATATGTTAGACCAATGCTGGAATATGCAGCACCGGCATGGAATCCACACCTTGTGAAGTATATAAAGCCAAAGCTGTAATGGAACAGGTTCAACAGGGCTATTAGGATGGGCGTTAAGAGCTAGACCTCACGCACCGATAAGCACTGATAGGTTAGTACCCCCACCTATATCAGCAAAACTACCACCACTATCCTTATCACTAATACAACTATCACCTTCACCACCACCACTACCCCTTTCATTAACAAAAATTCGACACCTATTATCATTACCAAACCACTACCACAACATATTGAAATCACAGAGACAAAACTATAAAGCATTCTTGATAATGCCATCCTGGAAGGAAATAATAAACCGGGATATTAAGGCGGCATAATGTAGCGTGGAAAAGTAAGCCAGTATGGGAGAACCAGACACCATGATTGTATATTAGGTA